TTAGCCCAGTGGTTATTTTGTTGGGGCTTACCTTTTCCCAAGACTATATTTCTTTATTTAACATGAATGACAAACGAGAAGAAGCCCACTGAAAGAACCTGCTCCTCACATTTGGCACTTCCTGTTTGTTTACTTTGCTCATATGTCATCTCTGTCTTTCCAGGGTGTGATATCAGCAGCCCAGTACCACCGCAGCTGTAAGGACCTGCTTGGGGATGGCTTTAACCGCATCTTTAATGAGCTGCTTGTGCTCTTACCAGACACGGGCAAGCAGCAGGAGCTCCTGACTGCGCACGGAGACTGTAAGGCACTGGAGAAGCAGTCTGGGGCTGGAGGAGGAAAGAAAAATAAAAACAAGAAGAACGCCTGGCAGACGCCTGCTACAGCGGTTAACATGGCAGCTGAGCTGGACTGCCGGGTGTGCCCAACTTGCAAACAGGTGCTGGCCCCCAAAGACTTCAACTCCCACAAGACCCTGCACATCACGGAGAGCGAGGAGTTCCCCTCTTTGCAGTCGATTAGCCGCATCATCAGCTAGCCCCCTTTTCTCAGCCTTCCTCTGGTCCGTTTGCCATTGCGAGGCGAATTCAGTTTTGTGGTTCTGACACAGCCACGCAGCAGCCGGTGTGGGAAAGCAGCAGCTCATTTCCTCTGGGAGGAGTCGGAGGCCTAGTATAGCAAAAGAAGATGGTTCATGGTGTTTCCACTTTGATGGGGATTAATATTGATAGGTTTATGTGATTGGTTTACAATTCAAGATGCACAGGGTCGCCACATCTTAAATCTTCTTTCAACTCTTATCGTTTGAGGACGTCCCCAGCTGGCACTGGCACCGGCAACGTCTAATCAGAACTCTAAATTTATTTAATGAAAGCGGAGAGATGAGCCAGGGCTTTACTTGAAGAATGCAACGCTCCCTAATGCTGATATTATATTGATTTTCTTTTCTTTCTTTCTTTTTTACCTTGCTCTGGCAAGTTGATAAAGTCTGCATGAGTCTCCAGCTGTGCTGCTTGGTTAAATAAGAGGTTCAGTTTGAATATTTAGCTTTATATTTATAGCTGTCTAATTGCTTTTAATTGTTCATTGCTCTATGCAGGCCTGTCAACAGTGTCAGTGAATGGACTCCTCATTCAGGACGGTGTGTCAGAAAGTGAGCTGCTTCAGAAATTGGAACAAATTATGGATTCATCAGTTGAATGCTTTTTGTTTTTCTTTCAATAAACCCCATTCTCTTTTATTCCGTTTGCACAACTCACCAGTAGATTTCATAATTTTGTTTATGGACTGGTACAAATGTGGCCATGATGTTGCACAAGGTTTCAAAAGGAAATTAAAGAACTGAACAATGAGTCTTGTTGTATATTTCTCAACAGTTTTGTTCGAATTGTCTTTTTAAAATTGGGAGAAACAAGATGGTAACAATTGAGATCTCCACTTCTGACTACACATTTGGTTATGATGAACAAATTCAGCTGAAGGCACCGTTGTTTCCACCCACACTCGGTCTGCGTACTCAAGTAAAATCAAGCACTGACACAAATTTACAGGTGATGGATTATCTACTCATCTCTTTGTCATGTTTGTACTGTTGTCAGCAGGGCGTCTGTGTATTAAAGTGGCAGACTAGTTTTCACAGAGTAGACTGCTCTATTTTCGACCTGCTGCCAAAAACACAGTTTCTGTTGACACTGCAAAGTTCTCCATGTTTGACTTGTTGGCAGTTTGTTTGTTTTTTTTTTAACCATTTTTCATTATATTGCTCCAGTGGTCTGCTGACACAGTGCTGTGCAGGCTCACGAGTGACCTTTTAACCCTTAGTTTTATGAATCGTAGTGCTATTGTGGTTCCAATATTTAGCTTGCTGTATTTTGCCCAAGGACACTTCAGTATATGGATTATAGAGCTGGGGAATGAACTGCTGACCATCTGAATAGTAGATGGCACGCACTGAACCACTGTAAGATCTTTGTGGGCCATGAGTAACAGTTGGGTAACTACACTCCACACACATGATGGCACATTATTTAAGCACAAACAAAAAACGTCACATAAAAAGCAAGTGCAGTGCAAGTCTAACTATACTGAAAATGGATATCAGCAGAGGTGGGACCAAGTCATTGTTTTGCAAGTCTCAAGTCAAGTCTCAAGTAATGTCAGGCAAGTCAGAGTCGAGTCTCAAGTCACTGGTGTAAAAGTCCGAGTAAAGTCACAAGTCTGAAACTTTGAATTTCAAGTCCTTTTGAGTCTTTTAAAAAAAAAACTAAAAAAGAATGTTGCAGTTATATGCTAAATGTAAATATTAGACCATGTAATTTTTAAATCTGTGTTTTTCTCAACACATGACAAAATAGTGAACTTAGAAAATATACACAAATTGTGAAATTGCACCTCTATAAAATGCAGCTCAATTAAACTTAGCTCCAAGAATAATTTTCACCAACAGTTCTGAGATAAGCTGCATGTTATTCTTGGATGCGCTTGTAGGGCCGGCATTAAAATCGCATGACAAAAATATCATACACATTAACAAAAACTGTATCACCAACGGAGCCTGGACAACGTTTGCTAGTTTGATGAGGTCAGCTATCTCATCGTAGCAAAAGAGAAGCACCACCTACCGTTCTTTATGCAACTTCAACTGTCGGAGAAAGTTGAAGTTGTTCCATCTCTGTCTGTAATTCTCTTCTTGCATGTTTTGCATATTGCATTTTGGTTTTTTTTTGACTACTTCATAGTTTATGTACCTGAAAAAAATAACATTTTTGAGCTTTTTTTTTTTTCCTTTAAAAAAAAAATCTGGTTAATTTGATTGGCTGTGCTACAGCTCACGCATACGTACGGAGTGTGGTTTGAATAAATGAATGAATGAATTGAATTAATGGTGCACATTTTCTATGTAATATGCGTGTTAAATTTTATATTTGGGGTGAAATATCAAGTCTTTTCAAGTAAACCGGTTCAAGTCCAATTCAATTCAATTTCAATTCAATTTTATTTATATAGCGCCAAATCACAACAAATGTCGCCTCAAGGCGCTTCATAGATACAGAGAAAAGCCCAACAATCATATGATCCCCTATGAGCAAGCACTTTGGCGACAGTGGGAAGGAAAAACTCCCTTTTAACAGGAAGAAACCTCCGGCAGAACCAGGGTCAGGGAGGGGAGGCCATCTGCTGCGACCGGTATTCAATTGAAGTCCCAGGTCATTGGTGTAAAAGTCCAAGTCAAGTCACAAGTCTTAGAACATTTTTTCAAGTCATAAAATTAATGACTCGAGTCTGACTCGAGTCCAAGTCATGTGACTTGAGTCCACACCTCTGGATATCAGAAAAGCAATAATAAAACAGGTTTTGTACCAATTTTGGTACTTGTATCCACCTGTGAATGATTTCCCTCTAAAGTTAAGTTATCTGGTACACAATTAGAGCTTTCTTATTGAAGAAGTGTAGGGGTTGGCACAGCTTCCATTCTCTAAAGCTTTGGAAAGCCCAGGGAAATAGTGTGTATATGGAAAATAAAATAAAGTAAATGGTAAATGGCCTGTATTTGTATAGCGCTTTACTTAGTCCCTAAGGAGCCCAAAGCGCTTTACACTACATTCAGTCATTCACCCATTCACAAAGTCACAGGGACACAAACAGCCAGTCCAGAACATGGTTTCTTTTTTATTGGAGTGATGGTCAGACTGCAGTCCAGAGACATTCAGGTAATAGACAGTGATACACATCTCTGTACACGCGTTTTTACACTGAAGAGGTCAAACACCTTCAGGAAAGGAAGAAGCAACTCAGAAGAAACGTTTAAGGGGTAACACGCCATAAAATCAATGTTCACTTGAATTCTTGGTTGATGTATCCATGCAACGTATTGTACTATATGACATGCCTTCTTTACGACCTCGGTCTAACAGATTAATGGCACGAACGACTGATTTTAGCCCCTTTAAGAGTGATTGGACAAAGTATTTCCAACAGAGAGTGCTTTCTAGTTATAAATATGCATTATCGACATAAATTTATTTATTTGTTGTTGTTTTTTAAATTTTCTGTAGTAGTGGACACATCAGACCCTGAACAGCATCACACAATAATTTCATTTACTTCAATAACATACTGAATTTTACAATCAAACCAATACCACGGTGGTGTACATGGGCCAGAGCACAAAACACAGAGAATGCTTGTATTATTATTATTATTATCTACCACAGTGACTGAAGAAGAGACTGAAGCACTGAGAACATCAATACAACCTGACCTGACAGCAACCCAATCTACCCAGTAACACCCCAGCAGCACCTCTCACCCAACCACAGTTATCTGTTCACTACCATCCCGGCAACACTGAAGACTTAAAGGACTACATCGGTGCTTTCTGACACATAACGACAGACTATTTTCAAAACTCATGCCATAAACTGAACTTAAACTTTATCCATAGCTGCTTAAATCTGATTTCTCAGAATGGCAATGGCAGACTCCACCAGCAACAAAGCTGCTTTCAACTATGTCAAATGTCTCCTCTAGAAAAATGGTGTCAAAAATAGTATAAAAAAACCCTATATTTATGATTAAATATTCTTTCAAAGTTTTTATTTATTAGCAGGTTGTGGTTTATGGTAAGCCGGCGTCCTTAACAGTTAAATCTGAAAAAACAAACAACACGTAAACAAAGCTGGAGTCTGTGAGAACATATTCAAAGCATTTTCAAATAAACTAAGACCAGCCCGTGTGAAAAGTAGGGGATCTGTGCACAATTTGCAGCTGGTGGGCTAAAACACAAAGTGTAGTCCTTTAACTCTTACAAATAGACTTAACTCCTGTCCCCTATTCTAGCTGTAGTCCAGCAGCCAGTGGCGTTGCACCCTGTCCCAAAATAAAACTCTGAAAGACAGGACTGTTGGATTATCCCACGGTTTTAAAGACATGCTTAACTTAACACTCGCTGACAGATGGCGAGGTGAGTAAAACTGGGTTTTTTTTTAAAGATCACAGGTAGATCAGTGTTATTCATTTGAGTGCTGGAACTGAGGACACACAGAAATTCTATTATTGCAGAATAAGAGTTTTTTTTCTATAACTACATATCTACAGTAGTTAACATTTTCAGTCTGTTGGCTTCCTGTAGCTCCAGTCCCTGTAATCAATGGCCGGATCTGGATTTTTAATAATACTTTAAGTTTTGTTTTGTTTTTAATGTGTGTACACACTTGTGCAAAACTACAACTGAGGAATCAGAAAGTTAATTTAAAGTATGGATACATTTGCGGTTACAAACATATAAAATGATCCTGTCAGCTTCACCGATGCTGCCAGTCTTTCTAAAACATTCTATCAGAGTCGGAGTGACACAGCATTCGATATATAACAAACAATTTTCTTTCCTTATTATGACGATTGCTTCAGTTGTCCTGCCGCAGCAGAGATAACCATTTACACTGGATCTATTAGAACAGCAAGCAAGGCTTTCGACTGGTCATGTGTGTCACTTTAACTAGAATTCTTTTAGATTTGGCCCAGTTAATTTGCTTTGCATTATGTATACCTTATCAGTGACACTGAGGTTAAATTGTGTTTTTACTGAGGCAAAATGATTAAATATCGTAGCACGCTCGTGATTCCCACTCTCTGATAAATGCACGTTAAAGAAAAAACAAACTTCGATGCAGCACAGAACCCAACTGACTGCACACACTCACGGCTTTGGACACAAGTGTGCAGACTTACATGTCCCTCGTGCACGATGATGGTGCACGTGGACACACTCGCACGGTCGCACACACACCACACGACACCACAGATTCACTGATGAGAGCGTGCACGCGAAGCACAGCACAGACACCGCTACACACCGACATGGTTGGCATGGGTACTATCTACATCAGGGCCCCTGGTGACCAACATCCACACAACCCTGTCGTCATGGCAACTAATTATTACACCCCAACCCGCCGCTCTCTCCTTAATATGGCAGGATTGCAGGATCAATGAATTAGCCAGCGAGCGATCTGTAACACCCCCCCAACTGTATTCTTTCTTTTGCCCCCCACCCTCCAGAAGATCCTATTAACAACATAGTAGTAACGTAGTAGTAACGTGGTAATCAGAAGACAGCAATAAGAACACAGGGCAGTTTGGCAGCTTCTAAAACGTAAACATAAACGGACCTACATAATTTACCCAGAATATCTCCCACTCTCCTGATTTTTGTACACACAGCAGTCAGCACAGGGCGCTGTCTCAAATAACACACTGAATACATTCCCTGGCACCGTGGATTGATTGTGAGACAAAGGCCCCCTGGGCACAGCCTGTAAAAGCCCCCACCCTCCCACCGAACTCCTGATCAGTTTGTGTGTGTGTGTGTGTTTTTAATAGTCATGTAACTGACTTTCCAGGATTAATAATCACTTCCAGCGCAGGAGCCCATTAGGTACATTTAATAATCCATTCATGCCAGGCACAGAAATATACCAGATTGAATGGTGATTCAATAAGGATGAAGGTTTCCACACTGAATTTGAAGTGTAATCAGGCTGACCCCCAAAATCACACCGGCTCAGTCAGGGTGACACTGCACCATTTATATTTTGCACCGTGAGTGTCGTTTGCTTTAAAATGTGCGATAGACTTCATTAAGGGAGACTAAAACATGTCTGAAAGGATGATATAGCACAATTTGAACTTCTCTAATTATATATATAATAGCTCAGCTTCCATGGAAGAGAAATTCCCTCTTTCTCTCTCTCTCTGGAGCGCTTTGATCATCTGATACAACTTCCATTTCCTGCAAAACGTCACCAGGGTGGTCAGATCGTCGAGACTTATCAGCACAATCCAAAGAATTGCATGTGATTTGAGACAGCACCTGAAATTGACCTAAACTAGTTTACCTACAGTACTGCATCTACCTACTTACATAAGAATGTGAAATATTGCACTTGGTCACAAAAACATTGCCGTTGTGTTTTTTTTGTTTTGTTTTTGTTTTTGTTTTCTTTACAGCATATGGAAAACTACTAAATTAAGTCACTGTCTGAAACACACAGTACAGTATGGCACTTAGTTGATCTCTAAGTTTGGAAACATGCAGATTTAATGCAGATGATGGTTTCTAACTGCAGCAGGGAACATACGAGGAAAGACCAGACTCTAGCTAAAAAAGAAAAACAACAACAAAAAAAACGAAAAAGAAAAACGATTCCCTGCAGTGTTTGGCATGAAAGGGGATTTGGAATAAATGAAAAGAATAAGACAAGGGTGCTCTCTGGATGCGAGTGCCTCCTGCACTATTTTTAGGGATCTAATACTGCTTTGTTGTGGTGGAGTCACTGACTTGTTGATCACTTTTTTTTCTTACTTATTTTTGTCATAATGCGTTTGAAGTCGGCAAAAGTGGCCTCCTGCTCTGCATTTCCTCCACTTGTTTTTCTTTTTGATTTATCAGCTCTCGTACCTGTGCTGTGGCCTTGCTCCACAGAGAGGCGTACAAAAGTGACGATAAAACTGGAATGTTCAGGAAGGAAAAGGTACCAAGAGGAAGAAATGAGGAATCAGAGGCCGCTAATTCAACGCTTACTGAAAACTCAGCCCAGATCAACATAAACAACTGCACGTGTAACATCACAGAAAGCAGTTTCCTCTTATCTGCATCCCTCTCCCCTGTCGTCTTCTTCGTCTTCCACCACCATCACCAGGTCTATCCTTTCTAGTAAATGGGAACCTGGTATGTGGGTGCTGCGTTGTTTTCGGTGAATGGTGGGCTCTGGTAGGTCTCCGTGGTCTCGATGGTGGTGCCGCCGCCTCCCGGAGAGTTGGAGGGGTATGGCTGGGTGGGTGCGCCACCGTCCATGTGCTCGGTGGTGAACAGTGTCATGTCTGTGCCGAGCAGATACTTCTGGACCGCACGCACTGTTAGACCAGCCTGGAGGACCGGGAAAAGGGCCACAGAGAGGAAAAGTGAGTCTGAGACTCAGTGTGAGGTATTCCTAATCATAAAAGCACATTACAAAGGTTTTAAAAAGAAGAATTTTATGATTTATTTTATAGAATTTAGTAGAAATAAAGCCAGCTAATTTATAGGTAAGCTAGTTAGCTAGTTATACAAGCTAGCTAGCTTGTCTGTGCCAACAAAATGTCAGAAAGAAGAGGGGAAAATAGTGAACTGAGTTTACAGCTAACAAAACAGCCCATCATGGCAACCAATAAAACTTCGAGAAGAAGCCAAGAGAGAGTCCAAAAGAAAAGCCTTAAAACAAATAACATTTCTATAGTTAGACTTAAACTAGCTACACTGCAGTATGCGCTAATCACAGAAGTGCTTTAGCAGGTTTTGGTATACTGTGAGCCAGGCAGTTATTACAGTTTTGTAACTTCTAATTAGTTTTTATTTATATTTTATAAAGGCAATGTCAGCGGTAGCATTTAGGAAAATCAGTACAGCTATTACAAAAAAAAAAAAAGAAACTTTTTGAAAGTCTCGCAGACATCCAAAGTCTCAATAAATACGTCCATCAATGCCTCATAAGGCCAGTTGCTGCTGGAGTTTCATAATTAACTTTAGACATGGAATCAACTCAGAGAGATTTCCAGCCTCAGCTCTGGGGGTTAAAGGTGGTTTTGCTATTAGGTGGTTGGAGGGGCTTACCCAGGTGATTATGGAGAAGAAAGAGAAGGCGATTGCTGCCCGAGCGGCATCTGCTCCTTGGTTGAGTGGCAGCTCTTCAGCTCTGGTCCGAGACCACTGATTGGCGAGGAAGCAGAAACTTACAAAGTATAGAAAGGTCCAGAAACCTGTCAGAAACCAGCAGAGCAATTAATAGTTTATTCAACGTTAGCGTTCCACATAGATGAAAGAACACCTGTAGGTGTTGATTTCTCCAATTTTTTGGCTGGAAGCACTTCTTTGTTCCCTTTTAGAAACATAAAATGCTCCTTAATACTATTTAGAACTTAAATTCAGGTGACAGGTTTCATTCCTTTGAATGTTATTTGAAATAAAGAAGCAAGCTGGTATCTGTAGCATTTTTGGTATTTTTGGGGAACTCTGGCCTTTTGAATCATGATTCCAGGCTTCGTTCACTCACTTCAGTTTCAGACCATTTAGGCATTCAGTGGTTAGCCTGTGATTTGTCAAAGTGCAGCTCTGATTTGAGCAAGGAAATCAATGCTAGTCATGTATCACACTGTATATAATTGGTTTCATACACTCATCAACCAACTTATTTAGGTACACTTTGCTGGTACTATGTTGGACCCCATTTGTTCTTCAGAACTGCCCTAACTCTACCTGGCACAGATTCAACAGTGTGCTGTGGTCATAAAGTTATGGACATGATCAACACCAATATTCAAGTAGGCTGTGGCATTTACAATGCTCAATTAGTACTAAGGGGCCCAAAGAGTACCAAGAAAATATCCCCCACACCATTACACCACAGTTGACACAAAGCAGGAGAGTGCCATGCTTTCATGTTGGAGTCATGAAACTAGGCAATGTTTTTTCCAATCTCCTTGTCAAATTTTGGTGACCCCGTGAAAACTGTTGCCTCCGTTCCCTGTTCTTAGCTGACAGAAACAGCACCTAGTGTGGTCTTCTGCTGCTGTAGCCCATCTGCTTCAAGGTTTGATGTGGTGTGCATTAAGAGATGCTCTTACACATACCTTAAAACGGTCTTGTCATTCTCCTCTGACCTCTGACATCAACAATGCATTTTTCCCCCCAGAGAACTGCTGTTTACTGGATATTTCCTCCTTCTTTTTTTTTTTTTTTTTACCACTCTCTATAAACCTGAGAGATGATTGTGCTGGAAACTCCCAGTAGATACCTGACATCAAAACCAATGCCACATTTAAAGTCACTTACCCATTTTAATGCTAGGCTTAAAGTTCAGCAGGTCGTCTTGACCATGTCTACATGCATAAATGCTCTAAGTTGCTGCCATGCGATTGGCAGATAAGATGGAAAGGTGGACCTAATGAAGTGCCCAGGTGGCCATTTAGATCAAAAATACATTTTCCAAAAACATCCAGTGCACAGTCCCATTACGCAGTTCGGCATTATACACTAGTGATGATGTATTTTGTTTTATTCCTTCATTTCTTCTCACAGCAAGACCTTTTAAAAACAAATTACTTCCTGTTGCTGTCATAACTCAGACACACCAGGACAGCCTGCAAGAAATGCTCTGTGCCTTCCCTGTTTGCTTGTGTCTGCGAACAAGACCTCCCATCACATGTCCGCATCCTCACCTGAGAAGCCGATCTCAAGCATTACAGCCTTCTTCCTGTCTTTAACAGAGCTGATGGAGGAGAACTTGTAGTCAAGCAGGAAGAAGAAGGAGCATGCCAGCAGGCCAACCAGGCCCACGAACACGCCGTAGTTGCACGCGTCTGTGTTCTTATTGAAGATGCAGTGGAGTCGCTCGCTGCCCATGTTGACATAACCCTCATTCACGATGGAGGCGAAGACCACCAAGGAAAATATCTGTTGTTTGAAGGGAAAGTAGAGGGTGGAGTCAGAGTCAGAACAAAGTGAGCGACAGGAAGGAAGAGCTAGATTAAAGAAAACAACAAAAACAGATCACCATTTAAAGCGATACTGTTTCAGTTTTCTGTCTTTCCAGCAAACAAACACTGCTCGCAGACTCACTGGAAGCGGGATTGTGGCTACACTACTCAAAAGCATCTCTCTGAGCGTACTCAAACCAAAAGGCATTAGCCTAATTTCCCCTCATTCTCTCTGACCGACTGAAGAGGTGGATGCTTCGCTTCCCCTAAAGAATCGCACAGTCCCGAGGCAGTGTGTGTGTAACTGCACTTAACCTACTACCATAAACTCCAACTTTAATTTCTCAAGTTCATTTTCAGCCTTTCTTCTTCCCTCTGTTGATCAGCTGACTAACACTCATGGCAGAGTAGGGCCATGTGACTGACACACACACTCACAAAGAAAAAATGCACTCCTACTGGGGGGGCTTGTAGGTCATATGACAGAGGGGGAGGGGACACACAAAGGAATAATGTCAGGTCCACATTTTAAACTAATCACGTGTGTGGATTTAATCTGAGTAGACGCACACTCGGGTGCTTTTAGTGAAACGTTGTGATAAAAAAGTAAAAGCTGCTTAAAAACAATATGTCTTTTTGAGGGTTGGCTTCTCCTTTTACCTGCCTGTTCTAAACTTTGATTCGCTTCTTCCTTAATTAAAAAAAATCCCTGCGGTCTGCTATGAGATTTCTAACTGTCGAATAGCTTTTTTTCTGTCAAACAAATGAAAGGAAAAGGCATTAACCTAATTGCCTGTTTACTGTGGATTCCCACTACAGACAAGAATTCATTTCCCCCTCCTCCTGAAATAGATTCCTGGTATACTGTCTTCTGTAAACTGCCACTGCAGTGGTGGAAAGTACCACATGGGGCTGGAAGCATAGGGCTACCTTAACGTATATCAAGCAGAGTTTAAAATGCTCCATCTTGAGTGGCCACAGCTATAAAGTGAGGGAGCTTTTTCTGCATAAGTACATCACAGCGCGTATCTTAACGCGACGTGGCAACCTCTGCATCCAGTCAAATTCTTTAAAATCACGTGATGATGATGACATTAATTGCATACGATCCACTGTCTTCCTTTTGAGGTCCTGGCACCACTGAGGAAGACCTTCTCCGTGTCACCCAGAGGTGATGCGTTTAGCCTACACGAAACGTCAGGGCACGAAGCTTCTCGTGGCCCTCCGTGCGTAACGACGATCGCGGACCAATCACAGGTGGGATGACGAACGGCGACGGCAGTGTAGGGGTAAATCAGCAAAATCATGAGCTGAAAATTGTGACTTAGCAGTGTAAACGACAGGTGAAATGATAAATAAGAAGTGGTAGGTGAATGGGACCGTAAATAAGTAGCACAATTGCCCAGAAACGTGAATGCTGATGAGTGAATATGGATGTGCCTCTCTTATTTTCAGCACAATCCAGTCTGCTGCTCAGTGTTTGTTAAAAACTGGCAGGTGGCATGTTAAAAAAAAAGGGAAAGAGAATAGGTGAGGAGAGGTCGTTTACACCTCACAAACACACACATCTGTAGTGAAATCACTGGTCACGGTGTCAGATAAGCACCAGGCCCTGGTTACACCCTGTACAGCACATTTCTGTAAATCACCCCCAGCATTAACATTGATTTCATGTCTCCATTTACACCGCATCCTTATCAGCTTTTGGTGGATTTATCGAGCCTGTATTTACAGGGAAAACACGTCACTGGTTTCGCGCAGCAACGACAACAGAGAGGACCCCCCCACCCCCCGCACACACACACACACACGGCAGTACCGTGAAAACCCGCTCTCACCCAGGACAGCACTCTGATGATGGTCTGCGGCTGCTTGGCGAAGGTAATCGGGTCGATAGTGGACCCGGTCCGGCCCGCTCCGAACGATCCCACTCCGTCCATCTTCTGTCGCTCTGTGTGTGCGCTCCTCGCGGCTCCACGCTCCCGGCTCCACGGCAGGATGGATGCGCTGCTGCTCGCTGCTGTAGGGACGGGTCCTGCGCGCTCCCAAACGGCGCGCGGGCGCTCGGTGGAGAACGTGCAGGAGCCAGAACGTGCCCACGCTACGGACGAGCGGGATAGGCCATTTATGCCAGAGCTCACTTTAATGTTGTTACACAGGAATAAAACAGGATAATGGAATAAAATTATAGGAGGATAGCACGTGAGAGCGGGGACAAAACGATGGAGGCCACTTGGACCAATGTTGTTGGTTCAAAATAGAACAGGTTAATCAAATACACATTTATGTTTGACCTCAAAGGGCTTTTGCAGTAGGTTAGTGGGATTAATAATGGCAAAAACAGAGTACACAATACCCGTGTGGGACAGCTTATGTTGCCATACTTTTCCCAAATCTTTGGCCAAACTTTATGTAAACAAATAAAAGTTTAAAAGAAAGGAAACCCAATCTGGGATAAGGTTATTAAAGAGCACTGTTACAAATTACTGTAAGAACTACATGATTTTATTATTATTTTATGCTGTATTTTTAAAAATACAGTAAACTTCTACAAACAACAATGCATTCTGGGAGCCTGTGGAGGATTGTCCGACATTAAATCAAGTATAAAACCTTTCTTGTAAATTTTAAATTAACAAGATTTCCATTTTAGTGTTTCAAGCTCTCTGTTTAGGAGGTTTAAATTTGGCATGTTTTGTAATGTTAAGCACACATCACCACTTATCGTCTGCTAAAAAGGTTAAGGTTAGCTTGGTTGTTGGTAATGCAATCAGTGAGCTTTTGAAGCTTTTGGCACTTTCAGTATGGGTCAGCCTCAGATATTTTACGTGGATGAACTGGATTTTAGTCTATAAAATTACTGTTTTGAATTACTAGTAAACTTTGCTTAAATCTCCTAACCCTGAGCATATGTCTTTGTTGTCCTGAGCACCATCTAAATCTACAGCTTTACAACTATTCCAGGAGTTTCATATAAGTTAGCATCCAGCTAAGCAGGCTATAAACATTACAGTGGGTGAGACTGTGCGTGCCACAGTCACAAACACTCTGCGATTATGAAATATGGAATAAAGAAAAGTCTTATGATGGTGCAGGAATGCCAAATACCACAGAAAGTATAGTCACAAGTGTCTCATCATGGGATATTTATTCATTCATGAATCCTCGATGATGACTGAACCATAAAAATCAACATTATCAGCCTTAGTAAAAATCCCAGCAAAGGTTGACAAGTCATGCCTGGTAAATTTATGTACACTGCCTGAGGACACATGGTTTGTGATTCAATAAATACTACATAAATTAAATAAATGCAACTTGGCTGTACAACCAGTGCATTGTGAATACTAACAAATATTATATTATTACACCTGGAGAAAAACAAATGTGCCATTTTTAATATTCAGTGAATTGTTTTATATAAAGTGTTCTGAGAAAGGCCAATGAAGCAGTAGATGTGTTGATTTATACAATGAAGTGCATTTATGGCTGACACCACTAGAAGTCACTAATGTTTTCTGTAGTTTAATAGTCTATGTTAGAGGAAATAAACTGAATGTGTGATGACACTAGGGTTATAAAGGAAATAATTCTAGACAAGGTTAAAGATTGATATGGCAGGAGAATATGGCATAAATAAAAATTATGTATAATAATATATACACAATATATATAATAAAAAAATTATATGATCAGTAAAACAAATATAAGAACTCTTCAAAATAAGAGCTTTAATGTAGTCTTTTGAGTCAGTGTGTTTAAATTTTCACAAATGCAATCATTTTGATTAGACATGTTTTATTCCCTCTGGAAAATAGACACATTTCTGTCACACGTTTACACAGTCTAGTGATTTCTGTTGAGTGATTACTTTGTCAGACCAGCAGACAAAACACTGCATAGTGTATAGTAAAAAATGAAATGACAGAAATTTAGAAATTTTACTGGTCCAAAATACTTTATCAAAAGTCTTGAACCACTCTTCTTTTCTCTATATTTTGCTGGGAAAGTGGGAAATAGGTGCAGTGATATACTGGAACATGCAAAAATACATGAAAATATAGTATACAAGACAAAATGAAAGTTAATATTTCCTATGACTGCCTTTATTCTTCAACACAGTGTGAACTCTCTTAGGCAGCTTTCTTGTCTTTTCTTTGAGTAAGGGGTGGGGGAACTCCAGGCCTCAAGGTCCAGTGTCCTGAAGGTTTTAGATGCATCCAACACAGACAATTTAAATGGCTAAACGACCTCCTCAACATGTCTTGAAGTTCTCCAGAGGCCTGTTAATGAACTAATCATTTGATTCAGGTGTGTTAACCCAGGGTGATATCTAAAACCTGCAGGACACCGACCCTTGAAGCCTGGAGTTCCCCACCACTGCTTTGAGTAGTCTTCATTAATAGTTCTCCGGGTTTCTTGAAGGACATTCACAGCTCTACTTTGGATGTCCAAAGATAAACTTTGAAAGACTTTCAGAAAGCCTGGAGAACTATTTCTTAGGACCACTTTGAAAAATTACAAGAAAATCTGTCTCTTGGGAAGCAAAATATAAAGAAATGATGACTCGAGATGTTTCCACAGCACTAAGGGTTGGTGATAACAGACCAATACACAAGTGTCTTTGCTCTAAGGGTCAAGTGAGAGTCATACCTGGTTAAGCACTTCCAACAAGGAGAGGATTATAATATAACTTAGAATCTTGAGTTTAGTGTTTTGAGTTTCTCTCTATAATATTGCAGAAAACTGTTTTTATGTTTCAGTGCTTTACAAATAAAACTGAACTGAAAAGATCTGAACTCAAGAAACACTGAGGAAAACTATTATGTAATCTTTAATTTTATTAATAGATTAATTATACTATATTAAAACAAAACCAGAAAAACCCAACACTCAAACATGAGCTCAGTTTAGTGGTGTTTTATACCGACGACGGGGTTTACTCGAGTCTTCAAATCTCTCTCAGCACAATCACTCAATCACAGGAGCCATCTTTCCATCCATCTCTCCACCTCTCATCTACACGGGAACAGTCAAACTCAGGCTTCCCCAACCTGACGTTGATGTCGTTGTGAAGACGACAGAACCACTGAGAAAGAGCGTGGCGGCTGCTAGTGTCCGGCTGATTGGTTTTCAATCTGTGGAGAGGAAATGTGGTTTGGTGATCGTGGCATTTCATCCTAAAGCATCTGAAAGTGTGAGGGTGGTAAATAAAAGAGTAAAATATGCCGAATCATTTCTAAGATCCTTTATGTGTGAAGACGTGCGCAAGTGCCGATATGTGACTTTCAGCCCTGTACATTAAATCTGGTGGCACTCGTGTGGTTCTGACCTGTCCCTGAGGTCTTGTGCACATTCATCACACGGGAAGAACTTGGAGAAAATGTTGATGAACTGCCCCATGTCTTGCTGCTGAGTGGTAGATGGATGATCCGGGTAATACGCGGCCATAGTGTGCAGAAAGGACCACGTGCTGCGGCCCAGCTCTTCCCTGTCCAGCGGACACTGGGGATCTTGTGGCTCTGAATCTGCAGCTTTTGTCTCCTGCAGGATCAACACAGACAGTCACCTGATGAATTCAAGAGAGACTAGTGGCCTGCTGCCCCGTGTGAATGAATGATTTATGGTTGTTTGGTTATCACAAATACATCATTGATATCTCTCCAGTTTGCTGGCTGCCATCACAACCAAATCTTAAAACAGTGAATCACAATGTTATGACATCATAAACTTTACACCGTCAAAGTAATTTGTCAAGTTTCCAGCCTGACTCCGTCGTGTCACCTGTGCAGCACCACCACCACTAGCAGTTGTCACCTGCTTCTTCTGCATCTTCATCCACGATTTAAAGTCCGTACAAGCCCTGCATGGCTTCTTTTTCACATCCCCGGTCTGCTCCTGCTCTTTACCGGAGCTGTCCTCCGGTGGTCTGCCAGCTATTGGAAAGGGGAATCCTTCAAACGCAGAGGGCACCTGTGATCCTTTCGGTCCTGTGGGCGCAGCCATGCTTGCTTTACGTATAAGCTAATACCGCCAACTGAACAGTTTACAGGCATGGACGTATATCTGTTTAAAATGCGAATGCCTCTTAGTGGACGGGTAAATGCTCTTTAATATTTCCTCTACCGTGGCGACAGTGTCATGGTCACAAGCGGTCACTTCCCCGACTGATGTAACGACATCGACACATGCGGTAAAAGTTTCCCCGAGTTTTCTTGTTTCCTCCCGGACATTTCACTGGAACGGACCGTGTTCCGGTTGGTGATGTCGGTTAACTGTGCATGCTGTTGAGTGTATCCTCTGCTAAAGTGTAATTTTCTACAGTATTTCAATAATTTAAGCTGTTGACATTACCCGTGTTGTATTCGGGTGCTCGCTTGCTTTGACATATCCTCACTCGCTGTTTTTGTTGTTGTTTCTCAACTGTTAAAGTGTTACTAGTTGCCCGGTTAGCCGGGCGGCTAACAAAGCTAACAACTCTGGAGTGACACGTTTCTTTTTTTTTTTATTTGCTGATTTTTTTAAACAGTGTAAGTGTTGACACCTGTCTGAACTTCAGCCATGGGAATCCTGGAGAAAATCGCGGAAATAGAGAAAGAAATTTCTCGAACACAGAAAAACAAAGGTGAGAGGGAGAAGTCGCAGCGCTAACCGTTAGCGCCACAATGGACCAACTTGCACCCAGCTGTGTGTGTTTGTCAGCTATGAGTGTTGCATTATACCTCAAGACGAATCAATATTTAGTCTTATTTCCACCTTTTGTTTATGCATATGTTAAGTACAATTTAAAAACAACTTAATTGTTGTTATTTTAATTGCAGCATTAACAGCTCCATTATTCCCCCTTTCCATTCACTCTTACTTCCAGCCACTGAGTACCATCTGGGTTTGCTCAAAGCCAAGCTAGCCAAATACAGAGCTCAACTTCTGGAGCCCTCCAAGTCAGCAGGGGCCAAAGGAGAGGGGTTCGATGTCATGAAATCAGGAGATGCCCGTGTCGCTCTCATCGGTTTCCCCTCTGTGGGTAAGGTATGTCGACATGGTGGACGGTGGGTTGTGTTCCCTGGTCTGGACGTAGAAGATAAAGGAGTTTGTACTTGTCTTCCTCTAATAATGTCTTTATTTTTCCATAATCCTACCACGAGAAAGCAGGGTAAATTTTAGTATGTTCAGGTTTCCTTGACGCATGCCTTATTCTGATCATTTGCTGGATCTTAATTTATTTTGGATTTTTTTCTGGAATAACTTTTAAAGGCTTTAAAAAGGGTAATTTTGAGCATTAATGTTTGCTTGTACTTTGTAGCAACACCTCTTGTCACCCTCTGAAGGGCTTAGATTTAAGCCCTGTCTCTTAAAAAAAAAAAACAAAAAAAAAAACTTCAGTCCAGTTTGTTCTGATTGCTTAGCCCATATGACAAAGGTAAGGCCAAAATAAAATTTAGTTGCATGCCATAACTCTTATTTGTTGTTTAAATTAGTTTTAAGGGGAGTCTTTGTGATTTATATGGACAGAATTCATAGGAATAGCTAGTTGGTCCAGGGCTTCTGCTTTGGTGGTCTCAGAATCTCGTCTCTGCTGGATGATGATATTCTTCGGCTTCATTGAGCGGCAACCTCGAGCTTGTTCAGGGAGCTTTGCAGCCGAGTACAAGGCGATGGAAAAAAGAATTAGAATTTCCAAGTCCAAGGCCATGGTTCTCTGCCAGAAATATGTGGAGTGCTCACTCCAAAGCTGGGACAAGTGGGAATTATATTTCAGGGTCTTGCTAATAAGTAAGGGAATAGTGGGGCGAGAGATTGACAGTTTAATTGGTGCTGCATCAGTACTATAACAGACTGGTAGTCGGTTGTGGTGAAGAGAGAGCTGATCGTGAAAGCAAAGCTGTTGATTTACCAGCTCATATTCTGATCCTCCACTGTGGCCACAAGCTCTGGACAGATGGTTCAGGCATCTGACTGGGTTGCCTCCTGGACCATACTTAGGTGATGTGTTTCAGGCATGGGAGGATGTCTGAGGCCCATCTTTCAGCTGGCTTGGGAAGGCCTCAGTGTTGCCTTAGATGAGCTGGAGGAGGGTGTCAGGGTCACCTGCTGCCCCTGCAGGTGAACGTCAGGTTATGTAGAAGGTTCCAGCATAGGGTTAGAATGGGGTTTTGTTTATGGCATAGATCTGATGCAGAAGTATAATTCACGTGTAAGGCTTGGCGCATTTTGGTGGCTGAAGCAAGTAACAGAAGAACTCTGGGGTACACAGTTAGTGTTTCATGTGAGAGAGAATGACTCCCTTTGCCTTTGTAACACTGCAAACATTTCAAAAGGCTGCGTAACATACTAAAACACCATCTTTGGCTAACGTTGACTCTTTCATTCTGTGCTGTGTTCTGCAGTCCACCTTCCTTAGCTTGATGACATCAACGGAAAGTGAAGCTGCTTCCTATGAGTTCACGACCCTCACCTGCATACCTGGTGTCATAGAGGTACACACATCTACATTAAAGATATTTTGACACATACAGTGTGTTAAGCGCTGCATCTTGAAACTCTTCTACTCTGTTTTCCCTCAGTATAAAGGGGCCAACATCCAGCTGCTAGATCTGCCGGGAATCATTGAGGGTGCTGCTCAAGGTACACTTAGGATTTATATTTTTATATTTTGTCACTTTAAATTTAAAGTGAACAGAGACTTTAATATTTAGGTATAAGGGTGTGGTTTTTATAGTTGTGGTTAGAATTATTTATAAACAGATGAATATGATTTTACATGTATTTTGTTGCTGTGTATAATATTGTGAGGAATGGGAAAACCAAATCATACCTGTGGAAGTAAGTGCTTCTAAAAACTGTGGAAAAATGAAATAAAAGAATGAATAAAAGACCTTAATTTGTAGTTGTTGTGTTAAGCTGATCTCTAACTTTTATACTTCTTATAGGCAAGGGTAGAGGTCGACAGGTGATCGCTGTTGCCAGGACAGCAGATGTTGTCGTCATGATGTTGGATGCCACCAAAGGAGATGTTCAGAGGTTTGTGAGTTTGGAGAGCTTGGATGGAGTTTCAGGGACACACAAGTGTTTATTTAGAATTCTTATCCAAACATATCCTTTGTTTGTTTTTTTGTTTGTTTTTAGGGCACTTCTAGAAAAGGAGTTGGAGTCAGTGGGCATCAGACTCAACAGAACAAAACCAAATATTTATTTCAAGGTACAGTGTGTATATTTGTCCCTTTTTTTGTCTCACAGTTGGAATAACTGAAATAAGGAGATTGTAAACAGCATCCACTAACAGCCATTTGGCTGTTTGTTCTCTATATGTAAATGTTGATTTGATGGTGGCAATAACTACTGAAGGGGTTTAGCAAAATATCAACACAGCAGTCTGCTCTTTCCCTGACTCTTGCAATACATTATCAATACACTAAACATTTGCAGATATTTATATTTTTATCAATACATCTGTTCTAAATTCCTGCCAGTTTGAGTTACCGGAGTTAATCTTTCATGGTGCACATTAAATAAATTGAGTTGACTCTCTGAGACGGCGCAAATATCAAACATCCTGGACGGCAGAGTTATCTTTGAGTTACCTAACTGAACTGGCATATTATTAACACCGAATAACTTATTATTTTTATAATTTTATAACACTATAATAATCTTTTTGTTATTGTACAGCTGGTCCTTTTGGAGTTCACAGCAGATCATCTGCCTCCATCTAACCCTGTCTTTAGCATTCTCCTCTGTCATACCAACTCTCTACATGTCCTCCTTCACTTGAGTCTCCTCTCAGGTTTTCCTCTTTGCCTCCTGCCTTGCAGCTCCATATTCAGCATCCTTTGTCCAGTATAGCCACTGTCTCTCCTCTGCAAAAGTCTGAATAACTATACTAATAATACCCTATATGCACAAAGCAGGGATTTGATGTTTTCCTCTAAGTGATTCTTTGTGATGTGCGATTCTGCTTTTTGCTTTTAGCTACAGACATCATGATATACCACAAGTGACCACTTTATGTATCACTGGTATTTTTGAAACTGAAAAACAAACAAATTTCAGCGCAAATGTTTGTTTTTTTTTCTTCCCCTGTAGCCCAAGAAAGGTGGCGGCCTCTCCTTCAACTCCACAGTTCCCCTCACCCAGTGCTCAGAGAAGCTCGTTCAGCTCATACTTCATGAATATAGTATCCTTTGTTGATCTCTTTGATGTACATTTAGCCCAGTTAGCATTTCTGTGACATAATTTGTGAGTAGGCTGCAGAAGTGTCTGGTTATTCCTTTAATTCTGCTCCTCAGAAATCTTTAATGCAGAGGTTCTCTTCAGGGAGGATTGCACACCAGACGAGTTCATTGACGTCATTGTTGGGAACAGAGTTTACATGCCTTGCCTATATGTGAGTCAGTTAAAGCCTTGGACTTATTTAGAAGCTTCCTTGTCATTTTAGAGAAATTTGAGATGATTTTCTGTTTTTTGACTCATAACAAAACCTGGACATTTTCGATCAAAGGGAAATAATTTTGAGATATTAGGCACATCTCTTGAACTTTGACTTTTGTGTGTGTGTGTGTGTGTGTGTTCACAGGTGTACAATAAGGTGGATCAAATCTCCATTGAGGAAGTGGACCGCCTAGCACGCAGACCTCACAGTGTTGTCATCAGGTCAGATATCTTTCCACAGGTTTACAAGAACTAAACACCATAATGAATGTCAGTTAGCTAACTGGCTCCAGAGTAGAGTCCAAATCAAATCATGATATTTTAAGAAACTTTGCAATAACGCTGACAATTTCCGACAATGAAGGGGGAAAAAACGTAACGTTTTATTGATGTTTGCAGGAAGCAGTGTTTGTTCGTGTCATTAAATGAAGGATATTTTCCATCCTCCTTTTCCAGTGAGCTGTCACTGATGACACCACCTAATTTGAGTGCCAGCAGCAGCATTATATCCAGTGACCGAGCATGATGCAAATGTGAACTCTAAAGCAGCTTAAGTTGTGTTAGTAACTTCTATCCACATGAAGCTAAGCTTGTGTGTGCTCCAGTGGCACTCGTCGTCTCCTTTGTTTACATTTAAAAAGTATTTTGACTAGTTGAAGGTCTCTGAAATGGCTCCCTTTAAGTGCCTTATTACTAAATAATTGTAATCATGGGGGACATGCCTGGGAATCTAAACACATGACGTTGCTATAGCAATGATATTGCGATATGACATTTTTAGATTATATAAAAATGTATACAGGTAT